AGGAGCCAGTTAAACACATGCCTTCTTTTCCCATCAGGATTGACTAGGGTATTGACTTTTGCTGGCCAACATCAGTGCCATAGAGCTTCTGCACAGCCTGTTTGATCTGGAGCTTGTTGGCCTTGACATCCACAAGGAACACTAGTGTGTTTTTGTCTTCCATCTTCTACATGGCAGAATCAGTAGTCAAGGCGAGCTTAATGATGGCAGAGTGAACAAGCTTGTTTCTCCTGGGGGCACTCTTACAAGGGCATTTGGGCTGACTCCTGAGCCACAGTGTCTGGGGCCACCAGAATGTGGGTGATGTGTGGACTTTTTTATTTTTATTTTTAATTAATTAATTATTATTATTATTTTGGTTGTAGATGCCTTTGAACCCTGCCTTCTTGGCTTTCAAAGCTTTTGCTTTGCCTGGGATAGAAGGTTCCTTCTCTTTTGATGCCATCGTGGTGAAAAGTATGACTGTTAATAGCAATTTTTTCAGTAAGATTACAGACAGTTTTTGTCACTTTCTTTTAAAATAATGACCATCACATTTGCAATAAGTAAAATATATCTAAAGTTATTTTTCAAAAACTCAACTACATATATTGCTAATTTATTTTCTCTTCCATATCCATTGTCTCTGTCCATTTTTGCTATATTGAAATAACTCTTTGTGTATGTGTTTGTGTGGTGCTGGGGATCGAACTCAGGGCCTTATGCATGCCAGGCAAACACCCTACACTGAGCTACACCCCTAACCTCACCAGTAGTCTTTTAATATGTACCACAAAATCATTTTCAATAGAAAGAAAGATCAGTTTCAGTAATTATTACAAAAGACAGTATTGCCTTTAAAAAAGTTTAACATAATATGTATGTAAATGTGTACAGTGCACTATGTTGTTATACTCTTAGAAAAACTTGTTGTTATACTCTTAGTTCCTTCCTTCCTAGAAAACAATATTTGGAGGCCTTAGGTAAGCTATGAAAAACAGTTGAAACAGGTACTCTAGAAAAGAATGGAGAGAAAAAAACCAAAGACTGAATTTTTTTTTTACGTATATAAGGAGAGGCAAAAACAACAGAATCATAGACAGGTGTTGTAAAACTGCACTTTTCAATATGGTAGCCTCTAGCCACATTTTAAATTTGGGTAATCTGAATTGAGAAATGCTTTAAGTGTAAAATATACACAATGGGGTTTGAGGAAAAATAAAAAATGAGATATCTTACTAAGTTTTAAATACTGAATGCATGTTAATGTGATATATTTATCTTTTGATTAATTTTAATTACAGTTGCTCCTCCACAAACAGTGGGTTTACATTCCAATAAACATGTCTTGAGTTGAAAATACCATTAGTAGAAAATACATTTAATACATCTTACCTGCAAATATCATAGCTTAGCCTAGTTTACCTTAAGTATGTTGAGAACAGTTATATTAGCCTGTAGTTAGATAAAATGATCTAACACAAAACTATAAAACATAAAAAGTGTCATAACATAAGTAATAATAAAGTGTTGAATATTTCATTGTAATTTATTGAATATCAGTATCCAAAGAATGTTGGCCTCATAGTATAATGTGGAGGATTATGTAGTTGACCAGAGCTGTGGTTCCCTGCTGCTGTTCTGCATGGTGAGAGTATCCTACAGTTTGTTACCAGCCCAAGATCAAAATCTGAAGTTCAGTGTCTACTGAATGTATGTGCTTTTGCTCCATGGTCAAGTCAAAAAATCCTAAATAGGGGCCATCAGTTTTCAGATACTTTTTCATACCTTTGGAACATTTAAATTGTGATATTGAGTAAGAAATGGTAAACCTCTACATATGATTAAATATTCCTGCCCCCAAATCCCCCAGAGTAAATTTTTTTCTTGAATGGACTGGGAAGTAAAAAGGCTTCCTCTGGTGGGTAATTCACTGATGTTAAATTTTAGCAGATATAACATTTCCACTATTTTTAGAAGAATGACATTTGAATAGTTTGGACATGATGATCATTTCTCTATTTTCAGTTCATTTAGCATGGATGAGGCAAATCAATAATTAAGTGGTAGATATTTAAGTAGATTTTGACTTGGATCTTCTCTTCATTACATTCTCTTCAGAACATTCTACCAGACTGATTTCTGAGACTATAGTGCTAATAGCGTAGTTTACTGAGGTTAAAGTGAAATGAAGAAAATCTATCTTATATATGTAAGTAGGGGGAGGAGGAGAACATTGCTCATTAGTTATTCCCAATAACTATTCCTTTTAAATAAATAAGTTATTTCAGGTAAACTGTGATTATATAAAATAACCTGTAAGAAAAGTAAATTTTAAACCTAGTAAAATGTTATCTGAATTTTGGGTCTTAGTATTCTTTTTGAAATTATACAGTTGTGGATATTAGTTATCCTTTAATGCCTGATTATAAATTATCTTTGTGTTGGCTGTAGAATATGTATTACATGGCCCCAAATGAAGATTCTGCCACATTATTTAGTAGAAATTGAATACAACCAGGAAATGTAAGCTTTATTCTCATTTCTTTTATTTTACTTTTTAATTTTTTTAAATATTTATTTTTTAGTTTTAGGTGGGCACACTATCTTTATTTTATTTTTATGTGATGCTGAGAATCGAACCTAGTGCTTCATGCATGCTAGGCAAGCGAGCTACCACTTGAGCCACATCCCCAGCCCCCTTCTCATCTCTTTTATACATATGTTTTTATACATTATTATGACAAGGAGCACAGCAGTACTTCCTTTGTTTACTTGTGTCAGGGAATTTTAAACAGTTTATGAATTTTGTTCTTGTTACTGTTTCTTATGGCACAGATACCTATTTCCTTCCCCAGGAGATTGAAATTAGATCCTAAGATAATTAAGGCATGCCCCAAACACAAAGAAAAGTGGTTGGACCAAGACTAGAATTCCATTGTTGGGATAATTGTCCATTTGCTTGGCTAAAGAAAGCAAGCTGGATTTAATTGTAGTGAGGGGCAGCAGGTTGTTAGTTAAGAACATGGATTTGAGCTGGTTTTCTTGATTCACATCTGTTACTTCCTAATCATGAAACTTTGTTAAACAGATTACTTCTGAGCCTCACTTAACTTAAAAAGTGGATATGGTAACACTATTTACTTCAGAGAATGGAAGGAGTTTATGTAAAGCATTTAGAATAGTGAGTGGCTTATAATATAATCTGTTTAATGAAGGAGGTTTACAAGCATTACAGGAAAACATGCATGTATAGTTTTATAATCTTGGAATGTGGAAGGCCTATTAAGTATAATTCAAAGATATATCAAACATAAAGAATGATTTTATTACATAATAATCATGAAAGTATATCAAAAGATACTGTGAACAAAGTTACAAGATAAACAGTACTCTGAGAGAAAATACTTACAACATATAAAGTAGGGCTAATTTTCATTAAGGAAAGTATGCCCTGTAGAAAAAGGGCAAATACAGAGAAAGACTCAGCATCACTCATAGTTAATTAATGCAAGCTAAAATGTCATATTGGCAAAGATTTAAATATATTTACATTGGAAAGGTGAGGCATTCTTAAGCATCATTGATGGAAGGTATAAATTGGTAGACATTTTAAGAGAGATTTTTAAACATGGCTTTTTTTTTTTTAAGTTGTTGATGGACCTTTATTTGTTTATATGCAGTGCTGAGAATTGAACCCAATGCCTCACACATGCCAGGCAAGTGAGCTACTGCTGAGCCAGAGCCACAAGCCCATCCCAATGTGGCCAATTTTTAAAGCATAAAAACTTCAAATTTCCAGTTTCACTTATTAGATAACTTATCCTGCATATTGATCCCAGATGTTAATCCACCCTCTGAAATAAATATTTATCAGTGAGGATTTAGTAAGTGTCATATTTATTCAATGAAATATTACATAGGCTTTAAAAAATAATGCAGATTTACATATACTAACAGAAGGATAGTCAAAATATATTAAGTGAAAAATGCAAGTTGTGAACTATTATGATTTTATGCAGTTTTAAAAAAATAAATGTCACATATGCTTACATATGCATACATACATGGGTATGCAAAGAATACAAAAAAAAAAATTTACCAGATTGTATCTTGGAGGTACAATATCAGCTACCAAAGAGAGGAAGGGATTTTTACTTTATAGTCTTCATTATTTGTATTTTTTTTTTTTAAAGCAACAGATGTAATTGTTACTTTTTTTTCTTTTGGGGTCCTGGGATTGAACCCAGGGCTTGTGTATATTAAGCTTGTGTTCTATTGAGCTATACCCCTAGCTTGTTATTTTATAAATAAGAAAAACAAGACTGATACAAAGAGGTTTGAACTCCTTTCATACTGGGTATTAGTTATCTATGGCTGCATTATAAAATCCCCTGAAACTTAGCAATTTAAAACAACAAATGTTTACATCACAGTCTCTGAGGGACATTAAATTGGGGGTGGTCTAACTTGGTTTTCTGGATTAGGGTCTCTCTTGAGATTGTAGTCAAGTTGTTAGTTGGGCTTTCATTATTTCAAGACTCTCTGAGTTTGAATGATGTACTTGCAAACTCACTCGAGGCTGTTGGCAGGCCTCAGTTTCTCTTTGGCTGTTGGTCACACAGTTCTGTTCCTCACTGCATCGCTTCTCCATAGGACTGTTCACAGCTTGACAGCTTGCTTCTTTAAGACTAATCTAAGAGAAGGAACATCAGAAGTCAAGACTGGGCTAATCTGGGAAATGATATCTCCATCTGTGCCTCATTGACCACACAGACCATTCCTTATACATTATGAGGGAGGACCGTGCAAGATCTGAATAGTAGGAGCAATATGATCATTAGGGTTCTTCCCAAAGGCTAGCTACCACAGTGGGTTTGTGACAGTATATATCTTTTGTGATAAATTGGGATTATGGAGAAGAAAATTAACTGGGTCAACATTTAGATGGAACTGTTTTAAGAATTTAGGTATTTCTTTACACATTCCCATAAATATTTACTTTTCATTTTCTTTTTCAGGTCCAGCACATAGTCAAATGCAGGTTCCATCTGGGTATGGATTACATCATCCAAACTATATTGCCCCCTCAGGACATTTCCCTCAAGGACCTGGAAAAATGACCTCATTGCCATTGGAGAGCCAGCGTGATGATTACTACTCTGGTCTCTATACAGTACCAACACAAAATGTGGTGACTCCTTGCACATCAAACCAATCAGGAGCACAGCAGATGTATGGCAGGGGTCCTCCTGCCCCTCACGTTGTGGGATCCACTCCAGGATCTTTCCAAGGTGCTGCATCATCAGCATCCCATTTGTATACGAGTGCCTCCCAGCCATATTCCTCTTTTGTGAATCACTACAATAGTCCAGCCATGTACTCTGTCAACTCTTCTGTTGCTTCTCAGGGATTTCCCTCTACTTGTGGTCATTACGCTATGTCAACTATTTCTAATGCTGTGTATCCTAGTATTTCATATCCTTCTCTGCCTGCTGGTGATCCATATGGGCAAATGTTTACCTCACAAAATGCTCCGACTGTCAGGCCAGTTAAAGATAATTCATTTCCTGGCCAAAATACAGTTATTAGCTACCCATCGCCACTTCCACCTCCACTGTCACAGCAGCAGCAGCAGCAGCAGCAACAGCAACAGCAACAGCAGCAGCAAAGTCTTTCAGGATATAATACCCTATCATGGTCAGCTCCGGGCCTTCCATCAACCCCAGACAGTCTCATCCGAAACCACACGGGGTCCCTGGCTCCAGCCAACAACAACCTGACAAATACTGGTAGGTTGAATGAACAGTTCACCAAAACAATGTTGAAAATCAGTGCTTTTTCTATCAGGTTATTTATGGGAAGGATAAAGATATACTGCTTGGTAGAAATTTTGGCAGTAAACTCACCATTACAGTGCATTTGCTTTATTTTTCTGTGGTATTTTACTGCATCTCCCTGAACCTTTCTGCCTTACCATTTACAATTAGTCACCCAGCTGTCTTCCTTGTATAGCCTGGTTCCTTCCTCAGGCAGTATTTGCTGATGTGTTATTTGCCTCTGTAATAGTTGTCTTTAATGTGAACCGGGTATGGGGTAAACTGGAAGGGTATATTTTGAGGATGTCTTGCTGGCCACTACTTTCTCTTTTCTATGTTCGAGTGGGGCAAGCATGTTCCCATCTACAGTCCCACTGACATAGAAAAGATGATGCCTGTGACATTACACTGGCTTCCCTAAGTTAACCTCTGTGAGGGACTTTCAAGGAAGATACGTGTTAACACATAAAAGTTGTTTGCTCATTCTCAAATGGGTAAATTTGGATGAAGAATGAGGGAGAAATGAGATGCCTGAAGAGGACCCTGTTAGTTCGCCTCTCTGACCTTCCTAAATCAAGATATAGTTAAATGTATTGGTTTTAAAATCACATATCCTAGATGTATGGTTTTTAAATTGGTGTTTTCATAGGTTGTTCTCACTTTAATTCAACGCATGAACTTATAATTTAACAAAGTGTTCTTGAATCATATGAAAATGCATGCAAAGAACAATAGTTCATAAAACTGTGGTAGTTTTCTGATTTTTTTAGGTTGTTTATCAGTGTTCAGATAGCCATATGGCAAAGGTGTTATGGAAAGGTGTTCTTCCCGGGACAATTAGATTATTATTATTTTTTTAAGTATTTATTTATTTATTTTTAGTTGTAGTTGGACACAGTACCCCTATTTCGTTTGTTTTTATGTGGTGCTGAGGACTGAACCCAGTGCCTCACACATGCAAGGCAGGCACTCTACCACTGAGCTACAGCCCCAGCCCCAACAATTAGATTATTTAAATTTAGGACTTTAATATCATATCTGAACTGTACATTTGAGTTAAGCAAATATCAAAAATATGGTGATGGATACATTATTGCCCCCCCAGACAGTTGATATCGTAATATTGAAGACATGGAATAAAAGAGATATTAAATGTTATTTCATTTGCTTCGCCCCGCCCAGTGATACTAGGTACTGATCCAGGGCCTTTTACCTGTTTAGCAAGTACCCTACCACTGACCTAACCCTGAGCTCCTTTATTTTTATTTTTTATTTTATTTGGTACTGGGAATTAAACCCAGGAGCATTTAGCCACTCAGTCACATCCTACCCCTTTTAGTATTTTATTTAGAGACAGGGTCTCACTAAGTTGCTCAGGCTGGCTTTGAACTCACGATCCTCCTGCCTCAGTCTCTTGAGCCTCTGGGATTTTAGGTGTGTACCACTGTGCCCAGCCTCAGCTCTTTTTTTTTTTTTTTTTTTAATATTTTGGAGGGGAAAGTGAACTCTCTATTATTTATTTATTTATTTTTTATATGGTGTTGAGGATTGAACTCAATGCCTCACATGTTCAAGGCAAGTGCTCTACCACTGAGCTACAGCCCCAGCCCCTCCTTTTTAATTTTTAATTTGTTTTAATTAATTATACATAACAGTAGAATTAATTTTGATACATTGCACACAAATGGAGCACAATTTCTCATACCTGTGGCTGCACATGGTACAGAGTCACACTAGTAGTGTAGTCATACACATATATAGGCTCAGATCCTTTTTTTGGGTACTGGGGATTGAACTCAGGGACACTCTACCACTGAGGCCTATTTTATATTTTATTTAGAGGTAAGGTCTCAGTTGCGTAAAGCCTTGCTGAGGCTGGCTTTGAACTCACGATCCTCCTGCCTCAGCCTCCTGAGCTGCTGGGATTATAGGCGTGTGCCACCGTGTCTGGCTCAGCTCTTTTTTTTTTTTTTTTTTTAATTTTTTATTGTGGGTTGTTCAAAACATTACAAATTTCTTGACATATCATATTCCACACTTTGATTCAAGTGGGTTATGAACTCCCACCTTCACCCCATACACAGATTGCAGATTCACATCAGTTACACATCCATTGAATTACAAATTGTCATACTAGTGTCTGTTGTGCTCCGCTGCCTTTCCCATCATCCACCCTCCCCCCTCCCCACCTCTCCCCTCCCCTCCCCTCCTCTCTCTCTACCCCCTCCACTGTATAACCCTGAGGGTCTCCTTCCATTACCGTGCAATTTCCCTTCTCTCTCCCTTTCCCTCCCACCTCTCATCCCTGTTAAATGTTAATCTTCTTCTCCTGTTCTTCGTCCCTACTCTGTTCTTAGTTACTCTCCTTATATCAAAGAAGACAATTGGCATTTGTTTCTTAGGGATTGGCTAGCTTCACTTAGCATAATCTGCTCTAATGCCATCCATTTCCCTGTAAATTCTATGATTTTGTCATTTTTTAATGCAGAGTAATACTCCATTGTGTATAAATGCCACATTTTTTTTATCCATTCGTCTATTGAAGGGCATCTAGGTTGGTTCCACAGTCTTGCTATTGTGAACTGTGCTGCTATGAACATCGATGTAGCAGTGTCCCTGTAGCATGCTCTTTTTAGGTCTTTAGGGAATAGACCAAGAAGGGGAATAGCTGGGTCAAATGGTGGCTCCATTCCCAGCTTTCCAAGAAATCTCCATACTGCTTTCCAAATTGGCTGCACCAATCTGCAGTCCCACCAGCAATGTACAAGTGTACCCTTTTCCCCACATCCTCGCCAGCACTTGTTGTTGTTTGACTTCCTAATGGCTGCCAATCTTACTGGAGTGAGATGGTATCTTAGGGTGGTTTTGATTTGCATTTCTCTGACAGCTAGAGATGTTGAGCATTTTTTCATGTACTTGTTGATTGACTGTATGTCCTCCTCTGAGAAGTGTCTGTTCAGGTCCTTGGCCCATTTGTTGATTGGGTTGTTTGTTCTCTTATTGTCTAATTTTTTGAGTTCTTTGTATACTCTGGATATTAGGGCTCTATCTGAAGTGTGAGGAGTAAAGATTTGTTCCCAGGATGTAGGCTCCCTATTTACCTCTCTTATTGTTTCTTTTGCTGAGAAAAAACTTTTTATTTGAGTAAGTCCCATTTGTTGATTCTAGTTATTAACTTTTGTGCTATGGGTGTCCTATTGAGGAATTTGGAGCCCGACCCCACCGAATGTAGATGGTAGCCAACTTTTTCTTCTATCAGACGGCGCGTCTCTGATTTGATATCAAGCTCCTTGATCCATTTTGAATTCACTTTTGTGCATGGCGAGAGAAAGGGATTCAGTTTCATTTTGTTGCATATGGATTTCCAGTTTTCCCAGCACCATTTGTTGAAGATGCTATCCTTCCTCCATTGCATGCTTTTAGCCCCTTTATCAAATATAAGATAGTTGTAGTTTTGTGGATTGGTTTCTGTGTCCTCTATTCTGTACCATTGGTCCACCCGCCTGTTTTGGTACCAGTACCATGCTGTTTTTGTTACTATTGCTCTGTAGTATAGTTTGAAGTCTGGTTTCGCTATACCGCCTGATTCACACTTCTTGCTTAGCATTGTTTTTGCTATTCTGGGTCTTTTATTTTTCCATATGAATTTCATGATTGCTTTCTCTATTTCTACAAGAAATGCCGTTGGGATTTTGATTGGCATTGCATTAAACCTATAGAGAACTTTTGGTAATATCGCCATTTTGATGATGTTAGTTCTGCCTATCCATGAACAGGGTATATTTTTCCATCTTCTAAGATCTTCTTCTATTTCTCTCTTTAGGGTTCTGTAGTTTTCATTGTATAAGTCTTTCACCTCTTTTGTTAGGTTGATTCCCAAGTATTTTATTTTTTTTGAAGATATTGTGAATGGAGTGGTTGTCCTCATTTCCATTTCAGAGGATTTGTCGCTGATATACACGAAAGCCTTTGATTTATGCGTGTTGATTTTAAATCCTGCCACTTTGCTGAATTCATTTATTAGCTCTAATAGTTTCTTTGTAGAGCCTTTTGGGTCTGCTAGATACAGAATCATATCATCTGCAAATAGTGATAATTTAATTTCTTCTTTTCCTATTTTTATGCCTTTAATTTCTTTCGTGTGTCTAATTGCTCTGGCCAGTGTTTCGAGAACTATGTTGAAGAGAAGTGGAGAGAGAGGGCATCCCTGTCTTGTTCCAGATTTTAGAGGGAATGCCTTCAGTTTTTCTCCATTCAGAATGATGCTAGCCTGAGGCTTAGCATAGATTGCTTTTACAATATTGAGGTATGTTCCTGTTATCCCTAGTTTTTCTAGAGTTTTGAACATAAAGGGATGCTGTACTTTGTCGAATGCTTTTTCCGCATCTATCGAGATGATCATATGGTTCTTATTTTTAAGTCTATTGATGTGGTGAATAACATTTATTGATTTCCGTATATTGAACCAGCCTTGCATCCCAGGGATGAATCCTACTTGATCATGGTGCACAATTTTTTTGATATGTTTTTGTATCCGATTCGCCAGAATTTTATTGAGGATTTTTGCATCTAGGTTCATTAGAGATATTGGTCTGTAGTTTTCTTTCTATGAAGTGTCTTTGTCTGGTTTAGGTATCAGGGTGATGTTGGCCTCGTAGAATGAATTTGGAAGTTCTCCCTCCTTTTCTATTTCCTGAAGTAGCTTGAAAAGTATTGGTATTAGTTCTTCTTTAAAGGTTTTGTAAAATTCTGCTGTATACCCATCCGGACCTGGGCTTTTCTTAGTTGGTAGTCTTTTTATGGTTTCTTCTATCTCCTCAGTTGATATTGGTCTGTTTAGGTTTTCTATATCCTCCTGACTCAATCTGGGCAGATCATATGACTTAAGAAATTTATCTATGCCTTCACTATCTTCTAATTTATTGAAGTATAAGGATTCAAAATAGTTTTTGATTATCTTCTGTATTTCTGAA